GCAAACGATGAGCGTGTCACACGTGGAAAAAAAGACCCATAAAAAAAATCGCGTAAAACTAGTATATACGAACGATAGATCATCCAAGGATCACGTGTTTGTTCCATTTGTCGAAGACGAGAAACGATTCTGCGACGGCTATTACGAAATGAATAAAATACGGCTCGGTGTAATTGAATTCTGAAACCGTTGAAATAAATTGGATATCCAAATTGCTGCTACAAGCTGGAGCATAAAAATTAAACTCGACGAGAAGTAATAAAGATTTCGCTCTCGCGTCGCAGAGCTGGTGGGTGGATTAATTCATATTTTTCCCTTCGCGAGAAGCAGTGGCAGAGAGAGAGAAAGGGAGAGAGCGAACGGAGTAAGAACAGTAGCCATTCTTTGGCGATTAGTCACTCGTGACTGATTTTCCAGCGGTTTTCTGGCACCGACGTTAGAGCATCGAGATCGCGCCGCCCGCGTAGAGGATGCGTTGCCTTATTCCGAGCGTGCTAAATACAAGCTTCCGCGTTTAACGCGTCGCCGTTCTTTCATCAGCGAAAATGGAATGTATTCGTGCCCTCCTTCCGTTTACTGCCTTGTCCGCGGTTTAACATTCCGGGACCATTAATTCTGTCCCGTCGTTAAGACGCTACCTAAACAGGGACGTGATTCTGCGCGTAACGATCGGTATGCGCGTGATGATCCGATTTTGTAATTTAATAACGCTACCCAGGCGCGACACCGGAAGAGAAAATTATTTCCCGAGCTTTGATGAAAAGCATGCTCGTGATAACGACATAAAAGTTGGGATTTCATATTCGCTTCAAAGGGACGCGAGGAGGCAGGGCTTAAGTACATTTTTTTTTTTAATAGCAATCACCGGCGAGAGTGGCGGAAAATTAGACCGACGAAAGCGTGAACTCCCGCAGGACGCTCGAAACGATTTGTTCAATATCGATGTAACTTTTCTGCATTACGTAAACAAGGCCGCACGTGTCGCAACTTTTCCAATTATGTTTGTACAATTGTGCTCTCTTACTGTTTTGGCTGGCGCGCGTGCACGTGTGGACGCGACGATGAATATACATAAGTTGTTAAATTAGCCATTAAATTTAAATTATTATATAATCGTTACGTTTTACCCAGTTCGGATTTGCAAATTTCACAATTTATACTATCTCGCGATTCCTATTTTTGAATTTCATTGCGAGGATAGAGGCTCGTGAAATCGAGCGACGATATAATAAACTCTTTCTAATATTAACTACGTTTATGCTTCGGACACTGATTTCGTCCTCGGCTGCTCAACGAATCTTCCCCTGCACGTCCGTGGCTATGCATACAGTAGATAGAGGAAGAAAAGTCTTATCCGTTATTTCGGAAGCTAGGCCGTCGTTTCACGGAGGAGGCCGGGGACTCGATTGAGGCAAACAATGATTCGACTATTCGAAACGGCGCGGAGTCGCGTATATTTCAGTATTCGGCGGCCTTCGCCGAAGCTACCAGACCTCGACAAAGAGAAAGGGAGCAGGAGAGGGGAAAAAAAGGGGAACAAGGATTTGTTTTCATTGACATACCAGAGCGGAGCTCGGCTCGCTTTCGTAAAAATCTATTTTCGCGCGCTAATTATGTAGCAACAGCGACAAACACGTCACGGAGGCCTCTCTCCCTCTCTCTTTCTTTGTCGTACTCTCTTCCCTCTCTCGCGCTCTCGCCGACGGTACATTTCGTCCTCTGTGCTGCGCGGCGTCGCGTCGCGTCGCGCCGCTTAGTCGGCGAGGAATGATTGTTTACATTGCGACGAGGCACTGGAGCAAACGATCACGATAATAGGCGCTCCAAGTTCGATGACTGCATGACAGTGGAAACCTTCCATCTGGATAAAAGGTTTTTCCTTCACGGAGTCATCTCGCCGGACGAAGGATCGACCGCAGAAGAGAGACGATCTCTCGTAGTCTTTCCATTCGCGCGTATCCTTTGTTTACCCGAGTCGTGTGCTCCGATCTCTGCGGGGCTCTTCCGTAGTGGAGTTAGTCATCCAACTGGCACAGACCATCCTCGTGATTTTCATTGAGTCAAGTCGAGTGCTTATTTATTCGGTATCACGACAAAAATGATTGCATCGATAACGTTCAAGTCCCTCGCGACGAATTGTTATCGATTCTTCGTACGCAAACATAAGTTATGCAAACAATAATATTCATAGTCTTGGATCGATTTGCAAAAGTTTACCGCGTAGAAGGATCTCAGGTTCGACTTTCTAAGTCGACGAACAGATATCTTTGCAGGCTCGAGAGGTGTTTAAGTGTCGTCCAAATAGAATATTAGGAAGACCGACTCGTTCGACGAGAACGAAGCAGGATAAACGCTATCGATGGTGTTTACGATTCAAGGCGAGCCGATCGTGGCCGCTTTAGTTTCGACGATAATGTATCCAAGGTGGTCAGGTAGATGACTCAAAACGGAGCGCATAAGTATTTACTTACGCACGTACGTAAAAAGAGCACGCGAATGGGTTCGAGGTCCGGCCGTTCGATTGAAACATTTCTAACCGCGAATGACTAGATGCTGACTCGCGGTGAAACGATTCAACAACAGACAATTATTCATTTAAAAGAAACGATAATGCCAGCTGATTCGTGGAAGAATCAACAACTGCGAAACTCCGTTCTCGGTATGCTGGACTTTGTCGTTTCGTCGCGACTGGTCTCCTCTGCGTGCACATCTCTTTCCCTCTCCGGGACGTGTAAACAAGATACGTATCAACGACTGAACGTCGGACAACAATATTATTAAATGGACTAGTCGCGGATTATTAATCGATGTAGTCGACAGCCGGGTGCTGTCGTCAAACGTGGCCCGACCACGCAGTTGCGTGCACCGTCGACGTAGTTCTCCGTGAACAAATGGACCGAGATTTGTAAAACGAATTGCCATCGTCAGCGGTGCTCGGGGGACATTCGTCACGGCCCCGAATTGAACGGCGAACGGCGCGGCGTTGACAGAAACGAAAGAATTTTTAACACCGCCACGCTAATTCACTCGCATTTAGACGACGCTGTAAACAATTCTTTTTTAATGTAAAAAATGTACTTTGAACAATGAAATCGCGAGGCTCCGGGCAATTATTCCGACGATATTTAAATTCGTATTGGGAGATAAACGGTAGAAAATGGAATATAATTGGTCTGTAATTATTTCTTGAAAAACTCGGCGGACGTTCCGATTTCTCGTAAGATGACATTGTCAATTCGATAATCACTTTCGTCGTGCGAACGCGATTCTTCCCTCGTCACCGGGTTACACAATCCCATTGTAGAATTATTTGTCGTGCGATTTGAGATTTATAGGTGCTCGTACACACATACGTACGAGTAATCACACGATACACAGCGAAGAGGTATCGTGGTCGATGTACTGCATTCTTGAGATTACGCGTGAACTACTTTTCGAGGGAATGTGCGGCGATAAAAATTTTTTATCACCGCCCGTTGCGTGTTCGATTGTATCGAGCGTGCCGTGATTAGGTTATCATTCGATGTTTTGAAAAATGCCATCGAGCGATAGAACCAATAATCAACAAATGCGATAAGAATAATATCGGAAGCTCGTTCCCTCGCAAAACAGACGACTCACTACTACCTACAGGAAACAATAACAACCTCGATGCATTAGAGCGAACGCGTTACACAATCGCGGAACGAAAACTTGACAGCGATTCGAACGACGCGACGTATGTAGCTCGAGTCGATGATTAGAACGAGAACATTCAGGCCCGGGGTCAGCAGACCCGTGTAAGAGTTTCATTCTCTCGCGTTCGCAGACGAAGATGAATGAACATAAAAGGAGACTTTAAAAGGACACGCGCGCGCGTTCGAGGTGCATAGTAAGAGAAGAGGGATTGTTAAGTGGCAGTGGCGAAGAAGAACACTGAGGAAGGAGTTCGTCGGGGATACTCTCCGGAGAACCGACCGGATGCAACGCCAGAATGGGAATGCAAGCCTCCGCGCGCGCAGAAGTCCGTTACTCGCGTCGGGTATTTCCCAGAATGCGACTATAAACAAACAAACATACTGGGAGCGGGAGAAGGAGGGAGAGAGAGAGAGAGAGAGGGAGACGGGGCACTGCGCGCGTGTGATCCGCGCCCTCCCTTCCAAGGCAACACCGACTAGCCAGAGCTTCCACCGCGAAGGAAGGGGACCCGACCCGAGAATACTGGCGCCGTCGATGAGTAACCCCACCAGGGGCGCCGCGCATGCGTATCCCGTGGGATTCTCCAGACGTCTCTCACCGCCAGGCTCCCGACTCCCCTTACCCCCCGCGCCGTTCTCCTCTCCTCTCCTCTCTTCTCCTCTCCTCTTCTACGGCGGCAGTCGAATTTGCACGTAAAGTTGCTCCGTACGTTTGCCCGCAACGACAAACTATCCACTGTGTTTACCGTCGATAGCGTGCCGATTTTTTGCAGAAACGATCGAATTTAAAATGGCTGCAGATCGGCGCTATCGTTCATGATTTTCAGATTCCTCTTAACGCGGGAAGGGAACGGCTACGTTCCCGGGAAATGGTGCGTCGCGCAGGAATGCGTAACGTCTCTCTTTCGAGCTGTGTACTACTGTTTCGTCCGTTGTCGAATACTTGAAATTTTATCGTGCTTTCCTCGGCCGACATGACGCGTTCAAGAGTAACGTACACGTACGTAGGCGCAATTATCGCCGTTTTAAATTTCACGCGATATTTCCTAGCTCGGTGAACTCGAGCACGGTCGTATTCGGTATGACGTCATACGTCGACAACGGTTCTCCAAATGTATTACTTAGCTGGCTGGGATCACTCGAATCGCTAATTCTCTTAATCATTCGCGACGGCGTATGAACCGGCCGAGATTTCGAAAATATTTCCCCGAAGAAATTTAACGGGAACACGCGGCAAAGCGAATGATATTTATCTCCGTCGTCGACTTCTGTTTCTCGTTCCACGGTGGTCGGGAGAAGGAAAAAAGGGAAAAACGAGCGTACCTGTGGGACAAGGAGACGGTGGAAGAGAGAGAAGGCCCGGTGTTGGTGTCTCGATGCTTTCATTGCAATTTTCGCACTTGACCGCAGGGGTAAAGCGTGCTTTACGGACCGCGGCAAGATTACCATCGACGTTGGTGGTAGACTGTCTACCCCTCCGTTGCTCCCACCAACATTCCCGGATGCGGATCTCGACGTCAGTGGGGGGACATCGAGAGTGGTGGAAAAGGCGTCGGATGGTGGGGCAGCTTGCCGCCAACGAACGACCCGTGGTGGGGGGAAAGCGCGGGTTAGCAGCCGGGATACGCCAGGCGTAGAATTCAGTAAGCGAACGGCTCTCAACAGCCACGAATGTGTTTTTCGTTCTTCGGTTCCCGCGCATTCAATATACATAAGTATATATGTACTCGAGACTGATCCGAAAGAAACATAATCGAGACGCTGTCGGAAATCCGCATCGTAACATCATCGTAACGTACAATCGCGACACACACGTATATTACCCGGTTCAACAAGAGTTCATTGACGCAAAAATCAGTTAATTCGGTTTAAAATCATCATTCGGTCCAACATTTCGGTTCTTCAACCTTTCGTTTCCCGCAACTGTGGCTTTAACAATTCAAACTGGATTCCAACAAGCAGTACGTGTCGCGATTACATCGCGGCTACCGGAGGCTTAAAAAATTATTCAAGGTAAGAGAGACACATAGGTACCGTAATCGTAAACCGTGCTACGCGGCCGAGATGAGATGAGACGAAAATCGAGGATTGGGAATGTGCGGTCAAAGTGTTTTGTACTACGAATGTTCAGGCATGTCCGTTCCGTTCTCACGGAAACGAGACTTTTGGAGACCTATGTCGATGATCAGTTCGCGATCGCCAGGACGAGATGTTGTGAACGACGCTTACGGAATTTATCGTTGCGAGCAAGAGTAACGTTCCCTTGGTCGATCGCGCGCGCCATGTAGGGTCCATTGTTTATGCCTCGCAAAATTCGCCGTTGAGTTCCTATACTCGGGAAATGGGAGCAGGTTGCTCGACGCTTTTCTGTTCGGCAAAATATCTGAGAATCCTCCGAAGCACCGTTCCCACGGATCGCGAATACCGCTCGAGAGAGGAAGGAGCGTGTGGCAACTTGCTAACTTCAAAGGCGCGTCTTTCTTGCAGTGACCGTGCTCGGCAATTATTTCGTTGCGGCAATGTCGGATAATTCTCATCTTTCTCCCGTTCTCGTCCTCGTCGATTCATCGATTTTTGACAGAAAATCACGCGGAGTTCTTCCGTCGAAACGTCAAAACGTCTAGTGGAACAGGAAACATTTAACGTTCCTCGCGAAGTCGACGTGTTCGTCTGAAATTTTGTTCGTGATCCGCGTGTGGGGAAAGAATCTCGCCCAAGCGATTTCTCGGAATTTCTCGAAATAGAAAAGAAATCAGTATACCTGGGATTTTCGGCGAGATCGGTTATACGCATACCGGGTGGGATATCGACGGACAAAAAAACCCAATGGCACGTAAATTCGGTGCCGAAAAAATAGGCGGGAGGTTAACAGACTGGGCCGAGGCATGAATAATTTATGCTCGCTCGAATTTTAAATAAATTCACCGGAAGCCCTCCGGTATCAAAACAGGCGTAAACACGACGCGACGCGGATTCGAAAATTTCTTGCGTCTACCATTGAACATTATCTTATCTATAAAATTAGTAGGTACCCTCTTGACGTCGAACAAAAGGAAAATTGCTTAGTGACGGATGTATATTCGATCGGTACAAAGGTTTGTTGGAAAAATTCCGTGACGCGTTTATTTACAAAATCTGTATTTCCGTTTGAACCAGATACAAGTGGTTACTTCCGCGATGAAGAAACATCGGTGAACCGAACGAATATTTGTTAACAGCGTCAGCTGAGATCTTAATTAATCGCAATTAATCTCGATGCGTCTCGTCGAGCGAAACAAAATAATTTCGAATCTTCCGAGATAAAAGTCCACGAGCGGATAACGTACAAAGCGAAATTCGTAGTGGGTCCTCGCGCGTGTGAATTTATCGGTCGGTTACGGCACGATAATAATCGCGTTTCGGCAATGCGAGCAAATTGGGAATGCTGGGAAGCATCGAGCCATGAGAATCGGTCGCGAGGTCGAACGCGATACACGTGAACTGCGAGTGATCGCAAAATTCCGCTACGTTCCAGACCAAGAAAGAGGGAGAGAGAGAGAGATTGTTATAGTGTTCATCGCGGTCCGCTCGGCGCGACCAAAAAAACATGTTTGGATCGACCGCTTGTTTATACGATAGGATGTAAAAGCAAACAGTTTCGTGGCCGTCTTGCCCTCGACGTAGTCGCCGCTGCGTTTATCTCTCGGCGGTATTCCAGTGGAAAAAAGGAACAGAAATGTTGATTTATGCAGAGAATTAATTACAGGATAATGTACGTTTTTCAAATCCTGCGATTTCGATTAGCTATACTCACCTGTTTACGACCACGCTTTACCAGTCTATCCGCTACATCATGTAACAGCTCCTCCTTCCCCATGAGGCTTGTAAACAACCCCAAGGCAACACGCCTTAGAATTAGTTTCCTCGTCTAGTATTGATTTCAGTCACATCTTTTTATGATACAATCTGCGGAGAGACAGACTCCTTTGCACATTATTCCTGTTGCACGTTGATCGCATAGCTTTGGTGAATGTGCTTTTCCAATGATCCGAATCGAACGATGATAACGGTTATACAAAGATTAGAAACGTTATTGTCATCCTTTTAACCTGTTGCACCTCTATAAACAGGAACAAAGTCGAAATACAATATTCGAGAACGACTGTTGCTTCTGCTCTTATTCTGAGAAGAGTGCATCAGGGTTAGCGACTAACGCTTCTAAAATCGAAATAGTATGCCCACTAATGAACTGAAATTCGCAGACGCACGCAACGCGAAAAGAAAACGTTCATTTCTTTTCACCAAATCGAAACTCGTGAACATAAAAAAAAGGAACAGTTACATATTATTTTATAAGGTAATGTCAGTATTTAATGAAATTTGTTATGTTCAATATGCATCGGATTATAATTTAAGTCGGATCTTTCTTCGCAAACTGACGTAGAGCCCTTTTATCGGTCTTTCTCTACGGACGCAGTTCGGCGTGTTCCAATTTTGTCGCGCAGTCCGCGCGCGACACGTTTCTCAGCGTCTGCGAATGCAAAACATCTCATTCACGGGCAAAAGTACTGGCCGCCTGCGCCAATAGGCGTAGTCCCTTCTGGTAGCCGACAAAAAGCTTGATGCGACCTAGGGTAGGGGTATATACACGATCATTTCTCTCTTTCTCCGTACCTCTCTCTCTCCCTCTTTCTCTCTTCCCGGCATGTCGTCCGTCTTCTCTTCTCCTAGCGTTCGTCTGGCGCGCGCAGCGTAAGAGGAAAGAAGGAAAAGAGAGGAAAGCGTCGCGTCGCGTACCATCGTCAGGGTGCAGCACTCGGCAGTAGCGTTGCATGAAAAACATAACAGATACCGCGAGCCTGGAACGGCAAAGAGGGCACGCAAGCCACCGTGTAAACGAGAGAGATGGGGAGAGACGGCGGCGTTGGCGCAGAGCGCGCGTTACAAGGCGCGCGCGGAGAGAGAGAAGGAGACGCGACGAACAAGGCTAAAATTAGAATGTCCGTTGGAATGCTGCTGGGTTTTGTATACAGGGTGATTCAGCGATCGCGGGTGTAAGAGATAAAGATGCAACGACGTCGATAGATAGACAGATAGAGAGGAAAGGTTTAAACAGGCGCGGAGTTGTTAGTATTTTTAGGGAGAGATCGATCCGTTACGCGCGCATCGCGTCTCGTCTTCCGGTGAATTGTCCTCCGATATTGCGACGACGGCTGTTGGATCCTGCTTGTATTTTTCGATACGAAACAGGTGAGAACAGCTCGAGTTCGTGCCCTCTCCACCGATCGGCGGAAACAGACCGCGTCCTCGAGACCACTCGCTTCGCACGAAGGGTGGGAACGCGAAAGTGTCACAGGGTCATCATCCAACAGAAATGTCACTCGAATATAAAGATCTTCGCTTGTCATCCGTTATCTGGATTCGTTTTCCATCGCTTCATATTTTTTATTACTTTCCATTCACTCGACGTCAAAGCATTTCCGTGGACTGTATACCCCGATACATACCTATGTATGTATGTAGATGGTATTTTTGAATGGGCATAAAATTTGCGAGTCATCTTTCGAGATGGTTAGCGTACGCATAATGTTCTTAGAATCGTCGTCACTCGAACGAGAGAAGTGCGGTTTATTTTAAATGGATCGCGCGCTCCCGAGATACCCTCGAGAATGGCAGGTATCTACGATCTAAGCAAATTGCGAGGTCGTCTGGTGGGACGTTAGTCGGCATATCGATTATCCGAGGCCCCCTCTGCTCGAGGAGACTTCTCCCGTTGATATCTAGTCGATCGACGTTCCTCTCCTATCTCTTGCGGTATTCGTCGATGGTTATATCCCCTTTGCTCGCTCTACAGGGAAGGCGGGAGGTAGAAGTAAGTAGACGAGAGTCAGGGGACCAAGGAATAGATAAGCAAATAAATAAACTAGCGGGGCAAAGCGAAAGCCAGCGAAGCAGAGGGAGTAGGGCCGCGTGCGGTGGCTCTCTCAGGCGCAAATGCTCGACGAGGTCGACGTCCTGACACGGATGGTTGACGCCGTGGGGCCCGCCTCGTAACCGGCCTGGGAAGAAGAACGAGGAAAGCTGGCCAGATAAAGAGGATGAAAGAAAGGGCCTTGCGAACTTGCGTTTTCATTCTTCTAAATATAAATCCCTCCTATCTTCCTTTACTCTAATACCGCAGCTCTCCTGGTTGGTCGGTCCGTTCTCTCTTTTCCCACAAATTTCTTGATTAATTCGTCGAACCCTTCTACGGACGGGGCCATCAGCGGCACACTGTAATCTCGGTGCCGCGTCCTCGTACTCTTCTTTGTCATTCCCGGCGAAATTTAATTCGAGGAATTCAATAGTCGATAATAGACGGCTCGAGTTTGTAAACACGGAATCGTAGGTTGTAATTCTTCAGATAGAAGGTTTTAATCTTCCCGCGTAACCGTATAAAAATCTTACGGACGCCCATGATGTATATACATTGTCATAAATGAAACCAGAAGACGTTTGTTTGAAAATTCCAAATGAACATTGGCACTTATCTTCGCGTTATTTCCCGTAGCCTGAGAGTCTTTTATCCTATCATCTTCGGACCTCTTTTCCGCTGTTCGTTCATTCTCTGCAAACTGTGTCGATGGATACTTCGATCACGTTGTCGCCTTGGCGGGTACCAAAAAAAAAAGTATCTTGCAACGAGCGTATTTCCTGTCTATTTCGAAAAGCTTGTTTGGGGAGTCAACGAGCGTGCAGGTTTGGGAAACGGTCAAAGACTGTTCATCTGGGACGGGATCCGAAGCAAGGACCGAAGGGAAGTAGGTAGAGGGTTAGGTCAGAGAAGAAAGGGGAGCATTTCGACGGAAGATCATCCGGATTCCCTTGTTCGAGGACGAGAACTTGTTCCTTTCTTTTGTGACTGAGCTCACGGTATAACGCGAGATTCGTCTTTGGGCGGAAGTACACAATGGCGAATGGGAGGAAGGAAGCGGCAGGCGAAAGGGGCGCGATCGTCTTTCGGACCGGAAATGAAGCGATCACCGTTTAAAAATCACGCCCGTCTGCGTGTGTTCACCATCGTACCATCTTTTTTTCTCGCTTATCCTATCAGTCGTCTCGCCCATTTTCGAGTCTCATTGCATTTTCATGCCCGTGGAAAGTGTTTTAAATCGCGTCTGATGATCGTCGATGGGTCGTTATGCTCTCGCAGGCAAAGGAGAAACATCTGTCTTATGTTTGCGTCGCAGCAGAGTCTCTTCCACCGGAAAGCCCTCGCGGTATAAATATGTAAGGCGATTCCAGCGTCGCGAAAGGAAATAATTTCCAATTGTAAGCCGACCCTCGGCCAGAGGTCGGATTCACCGTTCCCGAGGGTATCGTTCCCAACGCCTCTATGCTCGAAGGTCAGCATTAGCGAGAGCAGTCTCGACAAATATTTGTCGAAGCTCCGGATTCGTTTCTTTTCCGAACCAAGAGACAATCTGCTGTCCCCCTTTGTCAAGAGAACAGCGAAACGTTAGCAGAAACTATATTGCGCTTCCACGAAAACGTGATCTTATTTTACTACGTCGTCTTCCATTTGATCTTCTTGTTTCATTTCGTTACTCTTCGAAATTGAATGAGACCATTTGTTCGCAATTTTAATTATTCCCGGCGCTTAGGAAAAGAAATGTAAAATTTTAAACGGGGAATGAAAGAGAACGAGTTCGTTCTATCGTCTTGACCTACACGATATGGCCACGTGCCGGCGGGACGTCACTTCCGGCGCCTGATTTTCCGGCACCGGACGATCGTTGGCGGATCGGAGGAGTTAAGTGCCCGGACACGAGTTCACGTCTGCACGTGCTCCCACGACTCGTTTCAACCTTTCGTTACCGTTACGTACGTTTCATTCATTACCAGTATACGAAGTTACAGTTGAATCAGATCGCCGTTCACGATTAATCCTAGAGCTTACATAAATAATTGATGGCTACTTTACTAGCAGTTGACGGCCATTTAAAACGGTCGATTCGTCGAACGCAAGTAATTAACTGGCGGCCGTTTTTGTTACAGCGTGTGGCGAACCAGGCGCTTACCGTTTCGCCACAGCCGGCAGTAACGGTGGAGGGGCCGGTGTCCAAAATGTCTCCACCAACGAACGACGTGACCAACGGTGTGGTTGCGCCGCCTAACACCCTGGCGCCCCGGGTTTCGCCGACCGCGAACCCGGCACTTACCACCAACAACCCACCGACGCATAAACGTACTCCCAACGACTTCATTTTTGGAAAGGTGATCGGCGAGGGAAGCTTCTCCACCGTAAGTGTATTATCCCATTAATTCGATTAAATTAAGAGATTACATCGGGAGGAAGAGCGGGATGAGCAGAACGTATTCCCTTTTGATGCTGTAGATGTGATTCGACGTGAAACTTTCCCCCTCGTTTCACGGAAGAAAGTTTCTCTTACGATAGCGACAGTCGTCGTCCCTGAAACTTTTAGCGTTCTTGCACAACCCTCGCCGTTGTTTGTCGCACGCGTCGACGACTCCCGGCAGCGTAGAGAAAGTATCGATTTTTAACGAACGCGTTTGTTTTGATCCGGCAGGTTTACCTTGCCAAGGATATCCATACCGGGAAGGAGTACGCGATCAAGGTGTGCGACAAACGTCACATCATCAAGGAGAAGAAGACCGAGTACGTGAAACGAGAGAAGGAGGTATTGAATATGCTGGCGGACGCGAAACACTCGTTTGTGCGTCTGTTCTGCACCTTCCAAGACGTAGAGAGATTGTACTTCGTCCTGTCGTACGCGAAGAACGGTGAGCTCCAGCCTTATATAAAGAAGGTTGGCTCGTTTGACATCGAGTGCACCAGGTTCTACTCGGCGGAGATCCTCCGCGCCCTCGAGTACCTGCACGGGCTCGGCATCATCCATCGGGATCTCAAGCCGGAGAACATACTACTGGACGAGAAGATGCACGTGCTCATCACCGACTTCGGCAGCGCGAAGATCCTTAAAGACCCGGAAACGACGGTGACGCACGGCACCAACGTGACGGACGACTCGCAACAACAACAGAATCCGCAGCAAACATACCGAAGGGAGCGCAGGGGTTCGTTCGTGGGTACCGCCCAATACGTATCGCCGGAGCTCCTTACCGACAAAACCAGCAGAGCGTCCGATCTCTGGGCCCTTGGTTGCATAATCTATGAGATGGTCGCCGGTCTGCCACCGTTCCGTTCCAGGAGCGAGTACATGATATTCCAAAAAATCCTGAAGCTCGAATACGAGATTCCGGACGGGTTTTGCGAGCTGGCGAGGTCCCTCGTCAGCCAGCTGTTGGTACTCGACCCATCGCAGCGATTAGGCGCGCAGGACGAACACGGCGCCGGTTACCCGAGCATCAGGGCGCACCCGTTCTTCGCGGGCGTCGACTTCGAGACCCTTCACGAACAGACGCCACCACCGATTTATCCCTACCTGCCCGGTACATCGGAGAACGAGGAGCTCAGGTCGCAGTACAGGATTCCCGATCATCTGGAGCCTGGTCTCGACGACAAGCAGCTCACGAGGCTACTTGGCCTGGGCATCGGAGAGGATGACGACGACGACGACGACGACGAGGTGAACACCACCCCCGAAGACCAGAAGAAACCCGCGCAGACCAGTGCTGTCGTCGAGAAGCCCAGGAGAACGAGAACAAACACCGCACCCGACGTCAAGAATATCGCCGATTTGATGCCGGAGGAGATCAAGACTCGACTTGAGAAGCAACACGCCTCGAATCAGTGGGATGTCTTCGTCGAAGGCAACCTGATACTGAAGCAGGGGTTCATCAACAAGAGGAAGGGTCTCTTCGCGAGGCGAAGGATGCTACTACTCACCACCGGACCACACCTGTATTACGTCGATCCTGTGAACATGGTGCTCAAGGGCGAGATACCCTGGGGCCCGGAACTTAGGGTCGAACCGAAGAGTTTCAAGATCTTCTTCATTCACACGGTACGTTTCTTCCCCGGCGTCTTCGTAACGCGTTCTCGCAATATTCTCATGGCATCGTTCTTATAATCTGTTTTCTGTATCGTTACAGCCAAACAGAACATACTATCTCGAAGACCCCGAGGGTTTCGCGTTGGAGTGGTGTAGAGCGATCGAGGACGTGCGAGTCGTCTATTACAACTTGCAAGAGTCCGCCGCTTAAAACAGAAGACTGATGAACACGGAGACTGTTTTCGCATGGGACAGAGCAGAGAGAGGTGTGTTTCATCGATGACGGTAAACAAATGTCCGCGAGGTGCGATCACACCGATGTATTATTATAATCATGTTCGTGGCCAGATGAGGCGATTATATCGTAAATCGTTTGTTAGCGTGTAACTCATTAGGATAGATTAGCGTTCTTCTAGTGTACGCCTACGGAGCGTTATTTGTACAGTTTTAGGACAAATTTTCTAGGTAAAAATTTAAAGTGTTTATACATATATATATAACTCTCTTGACGAAAGGGAGACGAGGACAAGAAAAACGAACGTGTCGAGAATCGTGCAGTCACCGTTTTTCACCGATTACGTTTTTTTTTTGCTATTTATTGTGTCGAAACCATGGATTTACCTTGGAGTGGCTGCACGACTCATTTTCGAGAACAAACAAAGGGAATAGCGAAATTTTTAGCCAAGGCTTTGAGCTGTGCGGTATTCACAGCGTCACGCGCCGCCCGTGACGTAACGCGCCCGTGAACGAGGTCGCCTGTCGATTCCGCTGCTTTCGACATGGAGAAAGGGGGATAACTTGTTCCTCCGGGCGAATTTCGTTGTTCGCAATTCGTGACACGTAATCGGGACATCGTGATCCAAAATTTCGACGGATTAAGTCGACGCTTCGTTGCTCTTCGGGGGTGAGGGTGGGGAGAAAAAAATAGTACCTGTTTGACGATGAAGGGAGGGTGGGAAGCGTCGATTTAAAGCGCGGGTCGAAGTCGCGATCGACGAACATTGGCGGTGCTTAGTAATTTTCTTTCGTTCGTAGTAAAGATTCGTGAAAACTGTGAATAAATTTTGTTAGGAGCGGCGATCGATCGCGCTGACGGCCTCGCTTCGTCGATTCTAGGGCGTCAATTTAACATATAGTCGAAGTTAACCAAAAAGAAAATTAATAAAAATGCGGTGGGGGACAACATTACGCGGCTTCGCAGCTTTAATGAACTGTTTACGTTACCTGAAAGGGGTGCACGAAATTTTGCGCGTTGTTTCGTCGTACCCCTTATTCTCTTCATATTACAGTATTCTTCTCGTTGTTCGTTACCCCTTTCCCTTCTTGGTACGTTGTAAATATTAGCACGATTTCACGGAGTTCGGGCTTCGTAAAGCATTACACCGTTGTATAAATTGTTCTATATATGTGCATGCATATATATATATACATATATATATATATTTGTAAGTACAAAATCGTTGTCCGACCACGGCGTTTTTCCTGTTCGCCTTTTAAACCCGATTCTCTTTATCGTCGATCTGGACCTCGCGGACATCGATCTAGCAATGTATAGCCGGAAACTGAAGAGACGGAACTGTTCAGAACTTAATCGAAGGAAACTAATGTTTAGTGATCGTTAAGAGAGAGAAGAATTAGCATTCGTTTGTACAAAAGAGAGATAGCGATGGGTATATCGGAAGAATATATTACTTCTTCCAGCGCAAGATTTGACTGAGTGTGACCCTATGATTTAAATAGGTAATTAGTAGAATTGTTTAAAGAAAATGATAGGTTTAAGATGGAAGTAGTGAACCGTTTAGACTTGCGAGAATCATACACAACAGAAAACAGATACACCTTCACCACCACACTTGTTGCGTTCGTAGTTATTGTTTATCGTTCTTCGCTATTTACTCAAACTTTCTAGAGTTTAGTAACGCTGCTACACGATTACCGTTTTAACCGTTTCACGTAAAAGTATTTTTCCCCCTCTCGTAACTTCGTCGACGTTATTTAAGCAACGATATTTTTGTTTTCTCTGTTTTCTTTTTTCGAGCGTCGATGCTCTCCTAATTTATTATTACGTATCGTACGTTTGTCTCGTCGTTTATTTATTTATTTTTTATTTGCTTTTTTTGCGTATTCGCGCGTTTAGTATCAATCACACGCCTCGATTTTGCGTAAACGTTCACAACACAGACTTTAGTACTCTGCTATATGCTACCACCACTGCGATTATTATTATTATTAGTACTACTACTATTACTATTGCTATATCTATTAATATTTACTATTCTAGCGTCGTTAATTGCGTGCGTAGGTATCACGCGTACACGTGCGTACGCGCTTGTTTATAATGCGTTCAAATAACTTATATTATTTCTATCGTCTTTAGGCATTAACATTTAGGTAAAAGTCTGTAAATACTGCCGCGTTTATCGAGAACCCACCGAAACGCTATTTATTCAGCGGCGATCGGATCGCGGCCTGAACTTGTACGATAGACCACCTGTATATTACCTATACATAAATATTCTATATATACATATAAATATTATATATATAAAAGGGTATATATATACACACGGAAATAGACGAGTACGGTTATATAAGATATTTATGAATTTGTGAATAGTAGTTAGCAGAAATCTCGTGTATAAACATTCGTTCGTAGGTTTTAGGATGAACCAAGCGCGCTTAGGTTTAATAAGTATTTTTGTTGAAACGTTACCTCCGCCGCGATCCGATCGCCCGCAGAAGAGTTGTTCGTTCGCGCGTCATTGTATTATAAATTCGCAGACTCCATGGCCCCTCGCGTACCTTCTCGCGATGAACTTAGGCGACTTAAACAGGGTATTCGACGGAAGATGCCGGCGACCGGGGGTGGTTTTGATCGCGGTGCCTACGAATGCCGCACGAGTATGCTCGAAATAATGGTGGTCCGTTTACGGGCCGGCATTGTCCTTGCGCCCAGCGGTATTCCAAAATGACCGCTTTTGTGTGCCGCGTACGGTGCTTGCGGGCGAAAATGGGGCGCTCAGGCACCGCGAGCTCAATCACTCCTGTTCCCGGTTTTCTCCTCTTCAAACTAGTGAGAAATCGATCGCGAGAAGGTATATTCGAATAGTTGTTGATCCTCTATCTCCCCGGTATCAAGCCTCCCACTTCACGGGAAATAGCGTCTCGGTGGCGTTAGATAAATTGAAGCGTGAACACAGCCTTTCTGCGAAAAGGAAGCACGTATCCAAGAGCGTACCCAAAAATTTCAGAGGCGGCTAAACACGTTTATCGCTTAACCGCAGAAATAAAGCCGCCTCGATCGTTCACGGTTAAGTCCGATATCAAAGTTCCTCGCTGCTCCGACGATCTTGCTTCCCTTTTAACGAGGAAAGAGTGTGTTTAAAATAAAGAACCGACCGTTTCACCGACCGAGGGAAAACCGTTTTTAATCGCCTGGTCGGTGACACGGTGCGCGCGGAGCACCGTCGTTTCCACAGTCGTAAACTTTGCACGCTCTACGTTTTATGCAGACGTTGCAAACTTTCAGGTGGAAACGCACGTGCCTCTTTTCCTGAGCGGTCGACGGCACCCGTCGACGAGGAAAGATGGTCGATGTTATCAAAAATATAGTTTTCCGTCGTTTTTTGGAGACTGGTCTTGAGATTCCTAATTCCCTGAGGGGTAACGTCTTACCTCGTTTTGTATTATAGTTCACTTAAAATTCTAGCCGAACTTAAAGAAAAATCTCTAGCGTACTTTGTTGAATGCGCGTCCGACGCGAAAGATTATATATGTAGCTAATTTAATTTATACGCTCGCGCGAGGGAAGAATACTTAAATGAAGAATATGAGACAAGCGAAGATGCATATAAAAAAGAAATATAGAAAATTATAGAAACCACGCAAGCAATAACAGTAAGGCCTTGCGATTAAACAAATGCCTACCGTTTCGGCGTAACAAGGGCGGTTCAACTATTAATTGCAGTATTACTAAATGTATACAGGACTAAAAACTACACACTTATCTACACAAGCCAACATCTACACACGAAAAACGATTTACTTATACACACCGGATACTTCACATCGGATAAGACTTTGTAAATAGTTAGCACGTAATTGATATTACATAGGCGACAAGACCTATTAATATTAACATCAAATTTATTTATAGTAAATTTTCCGAAATATACCGTATATCTTTGTGTTATCAATCACCACCTCCTTTCTTTCTCCGTTATTGTCGTCCCGAGTTCGGCAAAGCGCAATGCTCTATTTCTGTTCATTATTTAATGACAAGTTTATTAATAAACCATTGGTAAGTATGTATAAAATGATTTATTTATTTACATTACAATCATTGTATACTGCACGATAATTACAATATTTCAAGCTATTCGAGGAGCTACGATTAAGTACTAGACCATCAGTTTTAATTCGTATACGACACGAAGACAAGTGCATCAATCGATTTATCTTTAACTTAAGGACCCATAAAACTGGGAAACAGTTAAATTACTATTGTTAATTTGATTTAAATTGCGTCAAGAGTGATAGGTAATTTCTTAGTTGAAGAGACTCTTCTTTCCCGGCAAATGTACCATCAAATGCCTCTTTAATTCCGGCATATTTTTCGGTGTCGCCGAACATTTATGACACTTCAACGGTACATTTAAATACGCGGTGCTGTCCTCAAATTTCTGCTCTTTTAATTCCCCTGTCTCTCGTAACTCTTTGCAAATATCTACAATTCATAAGAGACCAAGTCTATTCTTCTTATTAGAATAATTCTCAACTCACCTGTCGAGTGTAAAAAGAAAGGAGTTGTAAATGAGTTCCAATGGTATTTGGTTTTTAAACAGGGGCTGTTAAAATCTGTACTTATCACATGTAAGTGTAATCTATACATGCTTGGCACAGCATGATATCCAATGCTGTATAATATACAATACTTCAGTTAATATTGTAACGTTGTAAGCAACAAAATCAAGATTTGTACATACAGGAATTCATAATCTTCATGTTCTCTCGTCAACTTTTCTGCGACATTGTGCATGTGGATCAATAAATCTTCATTCTCCTTTTTTACGTGCCACAGTGATGGAATGTCAGCCTTTGGTAAGATAAGGTAATGGAACTGGGCTTTTGGATACTTGTCTTTAATAACGACTATTCTGTCATCCTCTTTCACTTTGAGTTCGGGATCTTTCATGGAGGCAACCAATCCTGTTGCCGAATGAAATGTCTTTGACTTTGACTTTGATTTATTGTCCATTATTGCTTGATTGTTACCTTTCCACAGATGGTAATTTCTACTCGAACAAACATATAGAAATTTAAAGCGAAGTTTCCACATTCCTATTACAAATAATATGAGTACACTATAAGTATATACTATGAGCGATAGAATTCTAAAGCTACAGATTTTTTTATGAAAACTAATGTTTGTCAAGTGACTAACAAGGCAATTGCAAATATCGAAAGTACTTACATGAATTTATGCTATAACCATAACTGATCTCCGTGTAAACGTGTTTGAGGTTATGTGTACTGTGGCACTCAACTGTATCACCGAGGAGGGATTATCAGAGTGACAGCGTTATGAAATTTTGTATCACGCACGAAAGCCGGCAATTTTTTACGCCCTTTAGAATATATTGCCACCGAAATAAAAAATAGAAAGTGAAACACTCGTAAATGCTGAACAGTTGCCAAATATAAAAAGGGTCCTATATATATGCAATTTGTTGATGAATGAAATAATTAATCGATTACTCCTGAAGTATTCGAAATAGAAGAAAATTACATACGACTTTTGTTGCAAGTAATAGTAGTAGTTACAAGTTTTATTTGAAGCATTTTTCGAAGTTTCGAGAAAAAGAAATTTTTATTTTTTCGTGATTTTATCACCTCTTCAGATTTGGCGAAATTTTCGTCTATTTCAAATAACTGCTTGCCCGAAAGGAAAGAGAACGAGGTAAGGAATAAACAGCTTAGTAAATAACTTTAGATTTATTTATTTACTCAAATGGAAGGCAATCGATAAATTTGCAACAAATAAAAATAAATAACACTCTCTCTAGCAATAATTACGTGACCATTACTTAAACGTACGTCATTACAATAAATTCATAGATACTTAACAAAAGTTATACCTTCTTCTTTTTCGCATGCTCATACAAAATATGTTGTGATTGTATCATATGTGTGTATGTACTTAGTCCATGCATTCGCGTGTGCTCGTAGTACATTCTCTCTTTCGATTTAACGTTACTTCCGACGCGACCGATGTCATCGCAAGTAGTTATTGCAAAAAGACCTTTACGAACGGACGCGTGTGATCGCCCGCTTATTCCGTTCTCGTTTTTATCATTATTCACTTATACTCATCGACACTTTCACACGCTGGATTATACAAACATAACACTCGCACGCGCCTCACAACAGACTACCAGATTCGCACAGCCTGACAAATCAATCAATCATCGATAGATCTCATGATTCATGATTCGAAGAAAGTGAAATAATTACACGATTGCAATGCTAAGCAACGATACTTGCTGCGATACGTTTAAACAAAGAGCGAAACGAAAAATATGAGGGATCGTATGCCGCAGGCCGATGGATAGCGTGATACGATTTCATCGTCCGCTCGATTGAAGACTCAGCTTTCGCTCTTCCATCATGGCGAAAGCTCACCTTTCGGAAACGCATCGGCAGCACGCTGATTCAGGTATGATACAGTATTTTACAAACTCTTTATTGTCATGGCAACGGGTGATATGATTTCTAAATACGAAGCGATACGCAGCGACAAGGGAAGATTTTTGGCACGACTTCTCTTATCCCGAATCTGCGCACCATGTTCTCTCTCTCTCTCTCTCTCTCTTCCTTACTCTCTTTCTCTCTCCTGAATTCTCTCGCGTTATCTATTCCCGCGATTAGAACTTAAATGCAGAGTTAGTAGCACGATTACGAAGCGATTTCTAATGTTCAAACAAACGAACAAAGTAAAGGGGAATCGGTTTCGATACTTAAATGCACGGATTTTGAATATAAATCGACCCTCGAGTTTACTTAAATGATAACCGATTAGCGGCTACAGTTTCTATTCGCCTGGAGTCACTGTCACACTGATTCAGAAATTTCGTTCAACGTTTCGACTGCGCTCACGGTCCCGGGATCGTTCGCAGCGGACAATAAACGCGATTGGTACGTGGCATAAGGGACAATCGCGGATTAAGAGGGTGACTCTGGCTTCTTCGCTGTTTCTACGAGAACATGGTGTCCCGAGGCCAACAGGTGGTGGTTTCTCTATTGTTTGTGAACGTTTGGAATGTTGCATACTTTTGCTGCTTCATTGTGCGATGTGGGATGAACGAGGATGATGCATGAGCGAAGTGCCATTATCGATCGTGAAAATAAAGGGTAACACGCTTACGTTAATCCGACGGAATCGCCGAAGCATGATCTTCACCGCGAATTTTCAACTAACTGAAATTGATTCGGAAGTTTAAAAAAAATTCATTCCGAAGGCGAAGGGTGCTTCGCGATTCGATCGCGACGTCTCGGGGACTGATATTTCTAACTGGGGTTTCGATTAGCACCATCGCTGATCACGTACGCTGACACCGTTTCGATGCACTCACATACATTTCGACGCTTATTAATAACATCCGTTAACACTGTCCACTGGCATTCGTCACTTTTGCTCTTTATTATCGATTTAGGCAGTGCGATCCTTTATCGTTAACATCGGCGTACGAAGCCGCTTGGTTCTGCGAGGAATGTCTCAGAAAAATGCGAGGCACAGCACTCTTCTTCTTTCCCGTGTACGTTCGACAAAACGTAGTCGTGAAGTTGTCTATAGTTAAATTTATATACATAGAAACACGTGCAATCTTCTTTGCATGATATAAGAGAGAATATAAAATTCCATATGACTTCGATCGGCCTGTCAAGATTCTGAGACGAATCCCTTTTTCACTTTTGTATTAAAATCATACAAAAGCGCGGCTCGCGTTACGCGTAGCTTCGATCTCATACTTGTTTGCGAGTTGCGGAATCATGGAATGTCACAAAAACAACAAAAAAGTTTCGTAGAGGGGAACGAATGAACAGGAGAACCGCACGATACCCAGACATCGATATACACCTTTTTGTCCGCACCCATTCCGCGAATGAATTCCTAATGCGATTATTGATTAAAATATGTATGTGTAACGTCTAACATCACATGCTCTGCCTTAGAAAAATTACACGTATAATAACTGTGCGGGAAAGCCGTCGAAATTGATTCTGTGTGTTCGTGGATATACGCGTATGTATAAGTTATATTACGATAAATAATTATCCCGATTACATTCGTTGTGATTGAGTAAGATTCCGTAAAGTCTTGGATGGGGCGGATGTCAAGGGAGGAAGAGTAATATTGGGAAGTGGAGGCACACGAGAAAAACGCGTTGCGCAACTTTCCCATTTTTTTTTCCTGTTTAACACACACGCTATTCGCAAATTATTAAAACTCAAGCAACACACGATTGGATAGTAAAAACTAGCTAAAAGCGCTCGTAAAGAGATTCTTTGGAGAATTTTGAAGACATCTTCTTGTTTTGCCGGTCAACGGGACTCGTCCGTCGTTACTTTTGTTTATCGTTCCAGCGAATTTCTTCTCGCTGTTACGTTCATTTTTCGCTTTTGTCCGTTCATTACGTTCTCGAACGATCGATCGAGCTACGTGATACTGTTTTCGTTCGATCGAGATTCCGAAGATCGGAACAAACGATACTCCCAACGAACGCTCGATCGAATGTCGCGAAATGAAAGAACGAGGGTTCCGTGCATTGGTTCTCATACTGACCAAGGAAGACAGAAGTATAATACGCGACACTGATAACTATGTTATTCTCTATTATACAAAATCTTTTGAAAGATTGCTTCGTGGTCTCGTTATGTTCTCGCCCTCGCGTCTTTTCACGATCTTCTAACGATATTGTGCACCATATCATTATTCACACATTTTTTTTCATTTTCTCTTGTTTCATTAAATTACTCACCTAAAAAGTTCTCAATTTCCATGAAAATTGTACAGCTATTTACTCGTAGTGTTTTCCCGTACGAAACGTAAGTACCACGCGTAAGTACGATTCGATCCGTCCATTAGCGTTGGAGTTTAGGTAACAGTGTCAGGGGCAAGTATCTGCTAAACGGATCGTTGAACATGCACTAGAAAAAAATTAGGGAGAAAGAAAGATAGACACAGACGTAGTCACAACACTTGTGTAGCACTTGTTACGTCTTCGGGTCCGCAGCACGTTTCTGTGTCTCGCATCATCTTTTTCTCCTCTCAGCATTCTCTCGCTGATTAAGTACACAGTGCCGAGCCCCGAGGTAGAACCTCGGGCTAGGCCATGAAGTCGACCTTATCCCAAGTCATAGATAAATCAGAGGACATCTTGAAATCCGAATCCTCCATATTGAACAAATCGAACGGATCCTGACTGCTAGTCAACAGTGGATCGTAAATGTCTGCCCCGCTTGATAAACTCGTCGGTGGTGCCGAGTGATGATTCGACACCGTGGTCGTGGAGGATGTCGGAGGAGACTGCCGCATCAGAGAATCGAGCCAGTCAGAATCCTCAACGTCCATCGGTATGTCACCGATATCCATTAGTTCTTGTGGTGTTTCCATTTTCACTCCGAGATCGCAGTCCAGTTGGCTGAAGTCCATTGTGTCGAGGGTTTCGAGGTCTATCCCAAGTCCCTGAAACGAGAGACAGTGAATTTAAAAATGCGACAAGCGAGACCGATTTACTGAAACAAAATAAAATCATGTCTGGAGCTTACCTTTAAATCTAAGTTCGCGTTGTCCGACGATGTGACTTCTTGCGGGGGTTGAGGATCGGGCGACGCTTGCTGGGCCTCCTGTGGGCTGAGAAGCATCGCAGTGTCCAAGTCGCCCTCGGAGGCGAGCAGGTCCGTACTGAACGATGAGATCTCTTCCTGTTGCTGCAACTGTTGCAACGCGGTCGGCAGTTGTATAGAGAACGTTGCCAAAGGCAATGGTGGCGGGGGCGGTGGCGCCGGTGCAGGTGAACTCACGCAATCGCTCTGGGTGACCTCCATCGCGATGGGACTGATCGGACTGATCGGACTAGCCGCAGTGAACACCAACGAGTGGCTTCGGCTATCCGCTGGTGCCGTGAACACTAAGTTCTGTTGAAGCTGCCTGTTCGGAGTAGACAAGGTCGTTGGATCCTGTGCCGCGCTTGCCGGTAATTCGCCGTTCTTTATTAGAATCTCGAGCACGTCGTCTACGTCCTGACTTTTGATATGACTCTTCTGGACTGGCTCAATTTTCACCTGAATAACATACGTCATATTAAATTCGGGTTCGAATGCCGATGTTGAATTCAGATCTCGTTCACAGTGATCGTAATTATGATACTCTGAAAAGTTATTTTCACAATCATTCTCACCTTTAACAATTTCGCGGCTTCATCGTACTGAGGTGGCGGTGGTTTTCCATCCTCAGTCGTAGTAGCTTGCTGTTGCTGCTGCTGTTGCTGCTGATGTTGTTGCTGTTGCGCCTGTGCCTGCGCTACCAATGCACTCAACAGAGTGCTATTCATCTTGGTAGGTTTAGGTAGATTGAAAACTATCGCAGCGGGGATTTGCACAGTCGCGTTGTTCTTCGTTTGGTTCTTCTTGTTATTAATCGCCGTTAAATTAGAAGGGTCTAGAATGGTAGCAGTATTGTTCGGCTGTGCTTGCAAGAACGCAGCCAAACTGGCTTTCGCGTTCAGTTGCTGGAACGTTGCATGTTGTTGTTGAGTCTGCTGTTGCGACTGTTGGTGATTCTGCTGCTGCTGCTGCTGTTGCTGTTGTTGTTGTTGCTGTAGATTCTGTAACTGCTGCAGGTGTAGCGCCAGCTGCTGTTGCTGCATTTTGTTCTGGATGCGTTGCTGCAACACTAGCTTGTCGGCGTGAACCGATGGTTGCGTCTGTCGGATCTGTTGAAGCTGTTGTTGCGACTTGAACAGTTCGCGTTGCAATTCCTCTATCCGCTTCCGCTGTTCTTTGATTATATCGTCCCCTGAAACACGGGCTATGATCGTGAAAAACACCGACGCGTGTTGTACTCCGAAAGTTTTACCTCTCGAACATTTCGTATCACGATGTATCGTTAATAGTAGGACAAAATTTATTGAATGGTAATTACCTGGAGGGCTCGATGGGTCATCGTGTTCGCTGCCGTGGGGCGAGTCCGTCCGAGGACTGTTCGGTTCATCTTTGATCATGGATCCGGGACTCTTCGCGTGGGAGCTAGAGTCATCGGACGTGACCGGCCCCGGGGTGTCCATCAATATGTGACCCATATGCGTCACGTGCGGCCCGTTCGAACTAGACGTCGAATTACCGCTGGACGATTCCGTGAACGGCTTTAACCGCTCGATCAGCTGCGGCTTCGAGCCGGACACCGGCAAGTTCCGACGTTTCAGTTCCACTTTGAGATCACTTACTGAAAGACAGACGATCGTTACATTCAATTTTCGATCAACAGTAATTTATTCTAAGAGTAAGTCCTTACCTTTCATATCCTCTAATTTGCCAAGTGGCCTTAACGGAGGTTGCTCCGAGGGGTTGTTAGAGGAATTCGAGGGCGCGGGGCTTGGCACGTTCAAACTGTTGCTATTGCTTCCAGCATCGCTAGCGTTGCTGCTGTTAAGGGACAACGGCTTTTGCGCCGCTGGTAGAATGATCTGAGGATACTGGATAACAGAACGGAGTCGCGTTACGCAAGTTACTTACAAGCTCTCCAGCGTTCGTTCAGTCTACCCGCACGTTAATTACATAAAACAGTCGCACGAATTGAGTAACAGCCGCGCGTGGTCTCATAACTCGGACCCGATCCGCGATTATAAATTTAGACAGTAATAACGTAATTGCTATGCAAATTGCCGGGGAGAAAGTATGTGCGCTGTTAACGAGATACATCCGGCCGCCGGGTTTTGTCGATCCGTTCGAGTGTTACTAACGAGCGAGCGAGGAAAATGAGCGCCTTTTAAACGACAACGTTTCTATTCGACTTTCGAGAGTAGAAGGTGCTGTAGCGTACCTTGTGCTGCCATTCGAGCTGCCACTGGAGGAATAGCTGTTGTTGTTGGAGGAGAAGCTCGTAGCTGGTCTCGCCGGGCGGAGCCGAACCGAGGCCGGAAGTCGTCGACGACACCGAGGTCTTCTGTGCATTTGGAGGGCCCTGGCAACAACGGTCATCGGTCAACGTCAGTCGATATCAATCGCGACCAACGAATTAAAAGGGGCTTGGTACTCTTCTCAGGCCGCGTCACTCTGATTGCTCGGCAAACGCAAAACTATGCGTTCCTTTCGTATGCTCGCGGAGAGATTACAAGTAAAAATTGTTTTTCGCGAACGTTCGACTCGTTCGCCGGTGAACACAAGGGTGCAAAAACTGACGCAAAAATCGAGTTAACGCGGTGCCGGTCGAGATGGAATGCCAACGCAGAAGAAGAAGAAGAGGCGAAGGGGCATGTGATAAATGATACATCAAGATGTTTTCTGCGCCCCTCATTTGCACGCCCATTCCCGGTTCGCTTTCACGCCGTCCATGCCATATCCCGAATGTTTCGGGAACGTGGCTTGGGCCCTTGGCACCTACGATATCTCCGGGTCCCTAAAACCCCGTCCCAGAGCTTCCCACTCCTGAGTCCCGAACTGCTTGTGCGGAGACCCCCTTGGAACCGCTCCTTCGCCACTCCCTGGCTTCCTCGCTCTTAGGTGCAATTAGCGCTCGAATTACTCAGAGCTAACGAGGTGGGCCCGGGGGCCCGGACTCCTCGAGAGATCGCGGGAGTTAATCACCCGATACGATCTCCTTGTGCTCGCCTTCTCCCCTTTTCCCTTTTGCCTGGGACGGAAAGAGAAGGAAAGATCCGCTTCCTCGCGAGCTACGGGAGCCGAGATTTACCGTCTGCGAGACTTTTTCTTATTTTTTTTTTTACTCTCTCTGTACGCCTTCCACCTTCCCTCCGTCGTCGTCGCGCCGCCCGCTCCGATTCCCTCTACTTTTTTTACCCCCTCCTCGCCCCGTTCGCGTTCTCCGCTTTCTTATCTTCACTCTGTTGTTTTTTACCTCGCGAAAGCTTTTTTGCTCCCCTTTTTACCTTCTTTTTTTGCTTCTCTTTTTGCTCTTTCTTTTGCTCCCGTTTTTGCCTTTTCTTTGCCTTCGCTTTTTCTCGCTCTATCTCCGTTTCGATCTCGAACTCTTTTAATTTCTGATATTTTTATCTTCCTCATTTATTTCGCGTCTCTTAATATCATCGGTACCAACGATTAAAATGACCGTTTTCACCCGCGCATGAGGCGTGTCGTAAAACGTTACGCGCCAGCGTTTTTTACTTTCCCGCCAGCCGGGTTTTAACGTTTAAGTAATATATTTGCACCTTGCGGACATAAAAGCCGGCAGTGTTCACGCCCACTGTGCAGATATATAAACAAGAATCGAGAGTGAAAGCGGTGAACGTGGCGAGTCTTGTCGCTCCGCGTATCCTGTAGTCGCGCACGATGTAACGATACACGTAATAGCAATTACCAAAGACTGCCCTAATTATAATGGAGCCTCGACTAAGGATCAGATCATGCGTAATACTCTCGCCTCAATTTTAACGTCAGACCTTCTCAAGCGAGTAATACGTGTTTGCAAGGCAAACAAGCGTTCTTTAATTTCGGAAATATACTTAGGAATTGGTGGGACTCGGAGTCTGATTTCTTAGAGAACTCGTTTGTTCAGTTATTGGAATTTCGAACCAGTGTTCGACTTTAGTAAAAAATATCCGAAATGTGAAGAAGAGAATTGTTATCGGTACTCACTTTGTACTCGTGAAATTTGATGGTGCGAGTCTTCGGTTGGCTCTTAGTCTTCGACTTCTTCCTGTTCTTATCCTTGCCGGGCGCGTCGCTCCTTTGACACGTGGAGGCGGCTGCGGCGGCTATAGGGCTCGGTTGGGGCCTGGGGGTGATGGCGGCCGGCGGTGGTGCCGGCGGCGACGCTATCGATATATTGGAAAGGGGACTCAGGCTGGACGTGGTCGAACCCAAGGACATCGGACTCGGCGCCGGCGCCAGTGGAAGGAGGGTCGTCGTCGATGGACCGTTCGTCTGACTCGCCTGTTAACAGAGACGGTTGCGTTTTTTTCACCGCTCGTGGAATCCCTCCGCGGATTAATCAGCCTGCATCGTCGCCAATTTATGAGCAGCGGTTAACGTTCGACGTAAATCTGCTTTTTCATCAACGACATCGACATTCCCCGTTTATCGTATTCCAACGTCTCTCCTTTTTCCTCCGGGGGGTAACTACTATCGTTTATTATCTACCGCTTATAAATCGGCGAACACCCAATAAATCACCCATCCGAGAATCGCATGGATCATCAAATAAAATGACTAATTATTTACATCGAAGAGAATGTATGAAAGTCTCTGCTTAATAGGAAATATCCGGTAACTTCTAAAGGGGGGTAACGGCATCGAGGTAAATCAATCTTTCGGACAGTCTGTTCACCTGCGTGGAAGCATGTTGCTGATTGTGCTGCGGCTGCTGCTGAGATTGTTGCTGTTGCGAACCGACTACAGTGTTGCAAAGCTCCGCGAACGTTTGTATCGTCGACTCGTTCGACGCTTGCTGGAAGACTGGTGACGTGGAAGACACGACCACGGCACCGCCGGTTGTCGGGATACTAAGGGAGACGGTCACTATACCCGCCGAGGCCGCCGCTGTCTCGAGAACGTCCGATCGCGACTCCAGCTGCGGCGAGGGTGCACCTTCTGAGCTCTGGGAGTCATCCTCAAAGGTGATGTAGTGGTCCGGGTGTTGGGGCTTCGTTACCTGGCCCTCGCAGGTGGCTTTGAAGGGAATGTGCCCCTCTGAAACCAAATTTCAATCCTTTATGCTATATACTAATGCATTTATGCAGGTCGATTAACAGTAAACGAGCATGATCGTTTTTAAAATCACAAAAAAAATAACTGATCGTATGAAATCAAGTGAAATAAGAAAATGTGAACCATTTGTATCCCGACACTTTTTTCTACGCTTTGACTTCTCTTTTTTACTTGGAAAGGGATATCAATCATGAGATCGCTGGAGTCGCACAACTCACCTTTGACCGCCCTTTCAATGGGCTCCTCCGTGTGGAGAATATTCTTTTGAATGAGCTCGAGCGGTCCAGGTCGATGACTTAGCTGGTCGTTCAGCTGGTCGGCCAGCCTGGCCTTCTTCAGCATCCGTTGCCTCTCGGCCAGGCTCGGGTCCACGTGACCCACATCCTCAAGGATGTGCTGCCTGACCAGCTCCTCCCGGCCCGGTCTCTGCTGGATCTTCGCCTTCAGCAAGTCACCGGTTTTCGCCCGCTCCAGTTGCTTGCGTTGCTCGTGAAACGCCGGTGGCGTCTTCAAAGCTGCAACAAAAAGGCGGAGCAATGCACGACATGCCTAATATATTTAACATTCATTGCAGAGTCTTAAGGATGTATAGGCTATATACTTAAACAATGCTAACATGTTGAATTTGTTATTATAGATTCCTATTACTATTAAAAAGCTACCTGCAAAATTTTAAATCAATTCATGGGTTTTTTGAAA